TTTTTAAGTAACTTTTATAGTGACTTTAAGACTGGTTTTTGTCACCTAGAAGTCAATGCTTTAAATATTATAGTTAACTTAATAGATTACAAATAAATAATTAACTTTTTATATTAATTACAGTAGATAAAATTATATAGGTTTACTTATAATTTGCAATTTATTTTAATTATTGTATTTATAAATACCAAATTATAATTGTTTATTTGTTGTAATAGATTTTTTCAAAAAAATAAATATATCATTAATTTACATTTAGTAAATAATTAATAGTCAATGATCATGTATGGTTTAAAATTATTTCCTTATAAGCCTACCGTCCATTTAAGTAATTTTTACATAATATAAATAAGTAATTTAAATACAACAAATATGATTTACAGTTATTAAATTATTTACTATATAAAGCATATTAGTTAATTAATCAAATATATTAGTTTAAAATTATTGTTAAATTCATTATTTTAAAAGCTATTAAAGCTATTTTAATAATTTTTAGTATTTTAAAATTGTCTTTTAAATACTGTTTATATTTAATTATTTTTTTCTAAATAATTTTAAATTTATAAATTAGTTGATTGCTGTTTATATCTATGTAGGCGATTGTTTGTTTAACCATTTAAAAACTATTATGGTAGATTGCTTTTGGTTATGTTAGTGATCTTAGATTAGATTTATTATTATTACCCTGGAGATATACACGGGCCAGGTAATGATATTTTATACAACGAAACAACAATTATAAAATATTAAATTAATATCATATTTCAAAATAATCATACTTTATTGCATTTATAATTTATCAATTTGAATTATAATTTTACTAAACATTATACATTTATTAATTAAATGTACCAGTTAAGGTAGTTTTTATTAGTAAATTGCAAAAATGAACCATATTTAATTATTTAAGCCCATTATTAATAGCGTTAAGCAATGGAAACTTTCCTTTGCCACACAAGCCGTTAAAATCGTCGGTCTCTATGGCCCACACCATAGCGCCTCCCAAGCCGTTGCTTTTGATGAAATCCACTTTGGCCATGATACTTTGCTCGTTATCATAGCCAACCCATTCTGTGCCCATCACAGCGTACGTAGCCTTTCGCTGGTCGTCCCAATGCACCGACCATTTGCTTTGATTTTCACAAATCTATATAATTTATATGAATAAAAATACCTACATTAAATTTACCATTATAATGACCTTGTATTACTTTATTGCAAATGATTTATAAAATTACCTCGTTATAACCAATAAAGCCACTTGATTTAGTGTATGGTCCGGCACTGCCACCGCCATTGGCCGGTGCGTTAATCCCATTATTTTGAGGCGATTGCAACTTAAATGTACGGCCATAAAACGGTATGCCTACAATCTAATAGATTATTTAATTATTAGCTAGATTATTAATTTAGAAGCAAGGTTTAATTTACCAGCTTTTTGGGCTCAGCACCTAATTTGAGCCAGTAGTCGACGGCGGACTCCACGGTTAGCATTTTATCTTGCTCATTATCACCAGGACCGGAATGTAAGGCTGCGTGATGACCTAGTACATGCATTTTAATTATTATAAAATATGATGCACTATATTCAATTATATCCAGATAATTTTACTTAAATTAAAAAGGTAAAATAGTAAACATAAATATTTACAAATATGAATTAAACTAGTTTATACCGGTCTTCTGTTCCCAACTGCCGTGCAAGTCATAAGTCATTAGATTAATAAAATCTAGATATTTATTCATTTCGGGCACATTATAACCCCTGTCTATTATTGACCGGCCGGCGCCCACCGCAGCCGTAAGTAGATAACCATGCGGTTTGAACGCTACGTTCAACTCCCGTAATAAATCCACAAATGCCTGTTTGTCGGCCTCATTGCCGGGTTGACGGTCCCCATCACCGCGTGCTGACTGACCCGGGTATTCCCTGAATAATTGACCAGTTTTATTATATTTTTTAATAAACATGGTAAATATATTGATGTATACCAGTCCAGGTCAAGTCCGTTGAAGCCGTGTTGTCCGATAAACTTGACCACAGAGTCGATGAAGGTTTTTCGATGCCCGGCGTTGTTGGCCATCGCCGAGTACTTGTCCGACCCCTCACCCCAACCCCCGATAGCCACCAGTGTTTTCAATTTGGGATTCTTTTGTCGTAAATTGTTAAAATGTTTATACATACCTATTGTATGTTAATTAACAACATTAATTTATATAATTAATTTATGATTATAGCTAAAAATAATAATTATAGTTAATTGCTCGTTTATATTATATAATTACACAGGTTTGTATAAAATTTACTGTGAATAATTTAAACTCGAATTTAATTAATCATACAAAAATACATAATTATTGTTTTAGTAAACCAACAAGTGTTACAAACACCATTAAATACTTTCTCTAATACATTATAAATAATGTTTTAATTATTAAATATAAACAGTACAGTTTATAGATAGATCTGTACAAACCTTTATCAACATCTAGGTATGGATCAAACGCTGCGATTGTGTTTTGGTCGCTAAGTTTAGTAAACGCATAGATCATATGAGTGCAAATGCTGGCATCAAAATTTGCCTCGGTGAACTGAAAATAGTTATAGTTATTAATTGTAGATAGTAGTAATAATTAATTGAATTTTAGCTCAATGTTTGTCATTTAATTAAAAAAGTAAGAGAGATAGAAATTTTGCTTATTTAAAAATATGATTATTAAAACATCCTATATATTTTATTATTGCTCAAAAATTTATATAAATTAAATGAATGAGATAAACATAAATAAAACTGTATACTTATTAAAATTTAACTTTTAGTAAAAGATATTTGAATATTATATAATTATTTTTGGGCAAAAGAATCTACACACTTTATGATTACGTATTGAATTATAAATGACTACATTTAATACTTTTTGGTATCAATATTTCACTTCAAGTTATTATATGTATATTTATAAATATAATTATAATATGCATTAAAATGATTATTTATTCGTTATAATTATAATTATATTTATTTGATATATGCCTAAAATTTGAGGCTAGAATAGAGTTGCTGATTATGTATACTCATTATAATATAATTAAATAATAATGTTTATGAACAAAACAATTTAGCAAATTTACCAATAAAAACATTTTACGTTAAAATTAAATAAAATGAAAATAAATGTATATAAAATACCTTGCCATTTCCAGTACGGTAATATGCCCATGATGACCAGTAGCATACTCTACGGAATGAGCTGTCAGCATTGGCTAGATAATAAATAATAAGTTATTAAGTTAAATTGTCACGATAATTGTAATATAAAATAATTAAAACACCTTGGTTAGACTTGATAGTCACTACAACTGATACAATTAGCAATACAGTAAACACAACATTCATTCTGGTTAGTAAAACATACAAAATAAAAATTAAGACTATTAGAATTAAAGTAGATTAATAATTATTGAACATGAATAATTACAAAATAATAACCAAAATACCACGGTTAATTGCCATTTTATAGTATATCGCAACGATAACTTTTATCGTTTAATCACAACCGGATCCTTTAACCAAATATATAAAATACACTTTTACACTGTATACTGTTTACAATTAAAACCTTAATAAGGTATTTAATTAGCCCCGGTTAAAATATTGCCTTTTAATGGAACATGTTGCTTATATATGGCACATTTAGCAATGAATTTGTATGTTAATAATGACATAAACTCTAAATGCTTATCAGTTGTAAATATTGCACCACCAGTAGATAAGTACACTAGCACACTATTTATATTAAGCTTATTGGCTTAAGATACGAAAAACAGCAAAAATATTAATAATATTTAATTTTTTAAACATATTTAAATTAATAATGTATTTATTATTAGAAATAATAATTTTAAATATAGTATATGATGAATAACAGAAAATAATGTAGGTAAAACTGTTTTAAGTTGTGTACAATTAATGTTATATAATATAACTTATATTGCTTATCAGTTGAATAAATAATTTTGCTATGCCTACATTAAATAAAAGATAATTTATTTATACATATTGGTAAAACTTACACACCTTTCGTTATTCAAAGCTTACAAATTAAAAATTAATTTAATAAATAAAACTAGTTTAAAATGTGTGGTGCTAACAGAGTCCAATTTATTAATTAAAACATTTTCATTAAATAATAATAAATTGATAAAATAAAATATTTACAGTTTGATTTAAATAGTAAACATACAAATAAATTAACTACAATTATATTATTTTTGAACTTAATATCACAATAAAGTTATTTTTCTTAAAAATATAATTTTTCACGTTTTATATGTAGACAATGTTAAGCTATCATAGCAAACATTAAACCACCAGGGGCGCGCACGCATATATCCATACAGTCAACGTAAACATTATTATCATCAAACATTGTCATATAAACATTATGTTTAGTTAATAATTAATTTTAATTAAATTATCATATTGGCAAATAATTAATTTGCATTGTTTAGAATTTAGATTTGCATAATTATCGTAATTTTATATATATATTAAATAATTTTTTAATGTTTACTTAGTTTAATTAATAGTTAATAATAAATAGTTAAATGTCCGGCGAGTAGTTAACCCAATGAATTATTTAAATACAATTTAAATATTTAGTGACATCTTTTTTAGTATAAGTAATTGTTTTATTTGGAATATGTGATCACGGTAAGTTTATTGTTTAAGTAGCTATTTAATGCACACATGTTAATTTTATTGTTTATATTGCAGTGAGTATTACTTTTTGGCGAGTTATCACAAAATGTAACAAAAATACTAATGCTTTACTAAAAATTTATAATTTAACTTGACAATTTACAATTGCAATTTTAAAATACTCATAGTGTGTTAGATACTAAATTATATTCTGTAATAGCTTGCTAAATTAAATTTATTTCAAGGGCATTTTAATTTAAATATTATATCTAAAATGATTATAATATTTCACAAAGTAAAGTAAAGCCACTTAATCATTTAACATTGTGATTATTAAATCAATATTATAATTTAAATATTAGCCTACAGGTTATGCTTTATTATGTATAACATTTATTAATTTTGTATAATAATTGTATGGTGTATTATTAAACTAATTAGCACGTTTAATTAACCATAATTCAAAATATGTTATTGTAACTTTGTAATAGGGGTTATTATAAAACTAATTCATTAACACACAACTATTAATCTCATTTATATTATATGACTATAGATAGCAAAAATAAATTTATGCAAAAATCTGCACATTTTAATCATGTTTCTTAAAAAATAGTCTACAATTAATAGAAAATTAACCATACGCTTATTTTTCTACTTTAAACAGACTGATAGCCTCATTAAGTGACCATCACTACAACCTCCAAAAAACACAATAACCTTTAAGTGTATGAAAAATTGAGATGGACACCATGACCACTACACCCACTAAAATTTTCACCAATAGTGGCACCACCGCTACCACCAGCACCACAACGGGCTCGATGCTGGCCTGGCAGGCGTGCTACGTGGTATCCATGTTTTTTGGCACATTCCTATCGTACCTAGTACCAATTGTGCTCATACAGCGACAACAGCGCCGACAACAACAAATGGCCTTGGCACTGGGCACCAGTGACCCGGCCGCGCCCGGGCCCACCCCTACCTATAACTATAACGACACTAATCGGCGCACACAACGCATACTGAGCGCCTGTAACTGTCTGAGTGCCGGCATATTTATGGGCATTTGTTTCCTCAATCTTATACCGTATGTCGACGACGAGTTCCGCGACTTGTTTGCCGACTGGCGGGTGACCGTCACGTTTCCAATAGGCATGTTTACGGTCATTCTGGGCCTGTTCCTGGTGCTCGTGTTGGAGACACTAGTGATGGCCTGTAGGGGCGGCGGCGGCGGTGATAACCCGGTGCTACTACTGGACGATGAGGAAGATATAAGTGTATGTGTTGTTTATGCTTATAGATTGTGTATGTGTTATGTGTGTGTTTGGGTAGAGTTGGCACCGGTTTTAGGCAAACAATTAATTTACTAAATTAATTGTTTGATGAATTTAGATTATTTTATGTAACAGTTTATTTGCAATATTTGTAATGTTAACATTAACTACTACAATAACTCTCTCTCTCTCTCTCTCTCTCTCTAATAATTAATTAATGTATCAAGTATTTAATTCTTTTAATCATGCTACCGTTTACTTTTAATAAGAATTAAATACTCAGATAATTTTTAAAAATTAAAATAATTTTATTACCACTTATAGACTGTATCAGTGAGTTATATTAGCACTATCATTATGTTAATAATAGTTTTTATAAAATATAATGGACTTGGTGAATCACATTATTTGCAAATGGACAATTTAAAAATATTTTATTACTAATTTAATTAATTTTAATTCCATTTAACAGAACGACTACCAGATCGACGAACAAACACAGGAGCTCTTAGGGCCGCACAATAGCCGTAAGGGCTCAACGCATGGCGAGTACCCGGAGATTGTGCTGACGGCCAATAGTAAACATCATAACCATCGCAATAACCACAACAACACACATCATAATCATAACCACAACTACGATGACCACGCGCATAGTCACCACCACCATGGTCACTCGCACGACTATAGTCACGTGCAGGGCGCCGGTAGCGTATCGTTTTTCATACTGATGTTTGCCACGAGTGTGCACTCCGTGTTTGAGGGTATGTATTACTGTCCACTAATTGTCCCAAACAATACCTAAGTAGTAAAATAATATTTCTATTATCAGCTCAAATATGATTTATAGTTACAGTATCATGATAGTTATATAATTCAGATTTGGCATTTGGAATACAAACTGTATCATTATGCAACAATAATATTAAAATTATGTTTGTAATTATTGTTCATTTTAAATCGGGACTTTCCTGATAGTCAAACTTAAATATTAGTTTTTACTTTAATTAATTAAGCTCGGTCGATTTTTGAAGTAACAAGTAAAATAATATTTCTATTACCTAACTCAAATATGATTTATAGTTACAGTATCATAAAATTATATAATTCAGATTAAAACATGTTTGGCTTTCTTAATACAAACTGTAACGTTATAAAGCATTAACATTTAAATTATGTTTGTAACTTTTGTTCATAGTAAATTGGATATTGGTTGAGAAACATTTATAAATAAATTTTTACTTTAATTAATTACGCTGATTTATTTTTGCCATATTAAAATAAGTATTCATATTTACATTGTCTGTAGGCCTGGCGCTGGGACTGCAGAGGGACCCGACAAAAGCCCTGCACCTATTCATCGGTATAATACTACACGAGTGTTTGGTGGCGCTGGCGTTGGGCCTCAACGCGGCCCGACTCGATCCCGGACTCAAAACTAATCTACGCTTTTCGGCCGTATTCTCGTTGACAATACCCGTCGGGATTGTGGCGGGCGTAGCGCTGGGCGTCACCCCAGGCCTATTTGGCCGCTCTATATCGGCCCTATTCCAGGGCCTGGCGGCGGGCACTTTCATTCACGTCACTTTCCATGAGTTAATACCCGCCGAGTTTATGGGCAGTCATGGCGAGGGCGGGGCCGGGAGTTTTCGGGAAAAGTTGTTTAAAATATTGCTGTTATTCATCGGTTTTTGTATTATGGCTGTTATGACACTCATTACTAGCGATTCTCATTAGATATGTACAGTACGTTCAACGCTCGTTATAGTGAACACATGTGCGGTTAATAGCGAGTGTTGTTTGTGTTTATTTTTAAGGGTTTTGATGTTTACTCTCCCCGATTATACCATGTTTAATAGAATAAGCTAATTATTTATTAAATTACAAACATTTGTTTCATAATTATATTTATTAAATACACATATTATGTAATTGAAAATTAATTATTTATTTATAATAGCAAAATAAATAGGTATCATTATAAATTTAAATATTTTTATCAACAAATAAAATACTGATTATTCAATGATTTTAAACTTTATTTTAATGTTTAATTATTTTAATAATTAATTAACAAAAATATTTAAAATACAAACATTTAATTAATTTTAAAATAAACTGCTCGGATTTACAATATAATTTATTGTAAAGAAAATAAATATATCTCCAAACAATTTACGGATGAATCAACATTTGACATATTTTTAAAAATTATTGTAAAAAGTTTAGATATAAATTCATTTCTAATTCAGTGTTACAAATGTTATTTAATAATAAGTAGTTAATGTTAAATACTAAATTTAATATAATATTTTTACATGTATTTTAATAAGGTGCATTTTTGTGCCGGCTTTTATTAATGATCTAATATTAAATAAATATGTTGTGTTCAAGTTAAAATATCTATTGGTCATAAACCCTAGAACAATTTCTATAAAACTTACTTATTATCCAGCTACAATCCCATGTGATTATAAGGATATTCGCTATTAAATCGCGCTGGTGGAAGATCAGTTTTGCGCCAGTTACGATTTAAACTATAAATCTGGTTCATGTCGTCCTGGGTCAATTTGAAGTCAAATATGCTAAAATTTTCAACCAATCTGTGTTTTTTAGTCGTACCAGGTATAACTACTATATTACGTTGAATGAGCCAGCGCATTATCACTTGGGCAGGCGTTTTGCTGTATTTTTGGCCAATTTCTATCAATATGGGCTCATTTAATAGGGTCTGGTTTGCTTTGGCCAGTGGGCTATAAGCCTCCACTCGTATGCCCATACGTTGACAAAATTGAACCAATTCTATCTCGCTCAAATATTGATTTTATAGATTGATTTTATAATAATTTTATAATTATAAATTATATGAAATTATAATTTTATTATTGTAATTATAAGCAAGTTGAGTTAATCAATTATAAGGCAAAATATCATGAAAATAAATTATAATAATAATAATTTAATTGTAAAGTAAAATGTTTACCTGATTAACCACGGGCTTAATCTGACACTGGCGCATCAATCTATTCAGCTGATCCACATTAAAATTTGATACACCAATCGATTTGACCAGGCCCGCTCGGTAAACATCCTCCATACCCTTCCAGGTCTCAACCACTGATATGTTTGAGTCACGTGTCAACCCATCGGGGGTGAAGGGTATATCTTCGCCGCCATATTCAAACCCAAACGGAAAGTGTATTAAAAACATATCGAGATATTGTATATTTAATTTCTTTAGGGCCAGTTTTAGACCCTCGGTCACTTTTGCCCGACTGTGATAAGTGCACCACAGCTTACTAGTGACCCATATGTCCCGCCTCTGGAGGCCAATCCCGTCGGGTCCCGACCCGCGCGGGCGGGAAAATATTTCCCGTAATTTTTCCCCAACAAACCGCTCGTTCATATAGTAGTACGCGGTGTCGATGTGCCGGTACCCGATCGCCAGACCATCATCGATCACCTGTTTGATAACGGTCTCGTTTGTGATGGTGAGTGTGCCCAAACCGATTATGGGTATCCGACGACCGTCCAGCAAGCGAAGTGTCCACATAGTTTGTGCTATGTAATATTAAATGTTTTAGTTTTATATATTTTAAAAAAATCAAATCTATTGCCTTATATACCAACTCGTCAATTTGGATCCATTCAAATTATAAATATTTTAGTTGTAATAATTAATTATGTTAAAACTATTCACCTACAGTCTATTTGGTTGTTAAGTAATTATATATAAATAATTAAAATAAATTTTTTAATACATTTATAAACTGTATATTAGTAATAAATAAAATAGTAAAAATCAAATATTATTTAATTTTATCATGAGATAATAAAATAGTGTAAAATGGGTTCATTCAGTAGCTCATATTGAACAATTTAGCTAAATTATTTATTTATAAACTTTTTTGGATTTATTTAATTTATATTAACTTAATAGACAAAGAGCTTTTACATAAAAGATTAAAATAATAATCATCAAACTTACATTGGGTGAGACATACATCTGTAAATAATGTAAGTACAAATATCAATAGGCACATGTACATTATACCTCACATTTACACTAGCTCATATGTATAATTTTAGATACAAATAACCTTTTTATCCCAAAACAAACTTGCCAAATAATGAGAGATTTGTTTTATGCCAAATAAATTTTGAGTTTGTTATTAATTGTTAATAATCACGATAGAAATAACGGGAATTTAACATAATGATTTTAAATTGCATTCTGGTATATTTTTATGTGGTATTTGAAAAAATCGGCATTCCATTAAATAAGAAATAAAAATTTTTCAATTGAATAAAACTATTTTGTTTTTGTTTGTGAATTAAGTTGACAGCAAAAATATCTATTTTTATTTTTAGATATTCAACTTTGTATACCACCAAGGTTGTTTTTATACTAATTAATTAACAATAGATGATTAATAAAACAAATATTAACAATAAACCATTATAATTTTAAATAATAGTAAAATTAATTTGTAATAATTATATCTACATTTACATTGTAGATTAGTGTGACCAACCGTACACTTTTGAAGTGTACAGTACACTATTTGAGACCTCTGTACACTATTTTCAGACTGTACACTATTGTACACTAT